TCTGTAATTCGGCCTTTTATGTCATCATCCCTCAGTACCATGTCTCATGCCCAGACATCAAGAAGCCTATGGAACATTGCTGCACCAGGGGCTTTCATCCCAGAAGCAAATCTTTAATATGCCAGCCAAGGAAAAGCGTTCTTAGTGAATATTACATTCAACCAATTCAGATCAGACTAGAAGTACTTACACTGATGGTCAGCTCTACACATTAGTCATCTTGCATGGACTCCATAAAGCAGGCTTTGGGACCAGCAAGTCATAATCTACAGTATACCTGTATGGAGAAATAAATGTATGGTTACATCTTACACAGGAGTAATAGAATCCAGAAGCAGAGATACCTAGTCCATGGATCAAATGAGAAGCTTTCATTTAAAAGGGACACTAGTCACCTGAACTTCAGCTTAATGAGGTTCAGCTGAGTGCTACAGCTCCCTGCAGCCTTTTTCTTGTAAGCACTGTATTTGCATAGAAAATAAATACAGTGTTTACATTGAAAACTAGGAACACCTCTAGTTGCACTCAGACGGCCAGAGGGACTTAGTTAAAAAAAAATAAAAAAATATAATTAATAATTCATGCCTGACGTATTCACGATGGGTGAATACTTCAGACATGCTATCAGCACACAAAGCACTGGGAACATGCTTTATGTGCTGAGGCTGTCAGCACTGCGTGGAGTGGCTTGAGCCGACAGGCTGAAGAGTGGAGGATCCAAACTGTAAGTAAACTTATTTAGTGAAGATATGGATGGAGAGAGTGTGTAGGTCTTTAATTTATAACAATATAGATATCTAGTGTTTCTAGGCAAACAGTTTGGTTGAGGGGGGCAGGTATAGAAAGCAAGCTGAGCTGTCAGTTAGACAGCTCAGCTCGCGAATGCGCATTCTGCGCGGTAGAGGCGCAGAGTTCATTCATAGGGCGGCATCCAATGCAGCTCTATAAAGAATGCAATTGGTGCAGAGCGAAGCCATGCATGCGCACAAGATTGCACTAAGCCACGTTTAGTGAGGACAGAAATACAAGAGAGGTTTGGAAATGTAGCAGGAGGTATGTGCAAGCTAGTTATATACAGGGAGTGCAGAATTATTAGGCAAATGAGTATTTTGACCACATCATCCTCTTTATGCATGTTGTCTTACTCCAAGCTGTATAGGCTCGAAAGCCTACCACCAATTAAGCATATTAGGTGATGTGCATCTCTGTAATGAGAAGGGGTGTGGTCTAATGACATCAACACCCTATATCATGTGTGCATAATTATTAGGCAACTTCCTTTCCTTTGGCAAAATGGGTCAAAAGAAGGACTTGACAGGCTCAGAAAAGTCAAAAATAGTGAGATATCTTGCAGAGGGATGCAGCACTCTTAAAATTGCAAAGCTTCTGAAGCGTGATCATCGAACAATCAAGCGTTTCATTCAAAATAGTCAACAGGGTCGCAAGAAGCGTGTGGAAAAACCAAGGCACAAAATAACTGCCCATGAACTGAGAAAAGTCAAGCGTGCAGCTGCCACGATGCCACTTGCCACCAGTTTGGCCATATTTCAGAGCTGCAACATCACTGGAGTGCCCAAAAGCACAAGGTGTGCAATACTCAGAGACATGGCCAAGGTAAGAAAGGCTGAAAGACGAGCACCACTGAACAAGACACAAGATGAAACGTCAAGACTGGGCCAAGAAATATCTCAAGACTGATTTTTCTAAGGTTTTATGGACTGATGAAATGAGAGTGAGTCTTGATCGGCCAGATGGGCCCGTGGCTGGATTGGTAAAGGGCAGAGAGCTCCAGTCCGACTCAGACGCCAGCAAGGTGGAGGTGGAGTACTGGTTTGGGCTGGTATCAAAGATGAGCTTGTGGGGCCTTTTCGGGTTGAGGATGGAGTCAAGCTCAACTCCCAGTTCCTGGAAGACACCTTCTTCAAGCAGTGGTACAGGAAGAAGTCTGCATCCTTCAAGAAAAACATGATTTTCATGCAGGACAATGCTCCATCACACGCGTCCAAGTACTCCACAGCGTGGCTGGCAAGAAAGGGTATAAAAGAAGGAAATCTAATGACATGGCCTCCTTGTTCACCTGATCTGAACCCCATTGAGAACCTGTGGTCCATCATCAAATGTGAGATTTACAAGGAGGGAAAACAGTACACCTCTCTGAACAGTGTCTGGGAGGCTGTGGTTGCTGCTGCACGCAATGTTGATGGTGAACAGATCAAAACACTGACAGAATCCATGGATGGCAGGCTTTTGAGTGTCCTTGCAAAGAAAGGTGGCTATATTGGTCACTGATTTGTTTTTGTTTTGTTTTTGAATGTCAGAAATGTATATTTGTGAATGTTGAGATGTTATATTGGTTTCACTGGTAATAATAAATAATTGAAATGGGTATATATTTGTTTTTTGTTAAGTTGCCTAATAATTATGCACAGTAATAGTCACCTGCACACACAGATATCCCCCTAACATAGCTATAACTAAAAACAAACTAAAAACTACTTCCAAAAATATTCAGCTTTGATATTAATGAGTTTTTTGGGTTCATTGAGAACATGGTTGTTGTTCAATAATAAAATTAATCCTCAAAAATACAACTTGCCTAATAATTCTGCACTCCCTGTAGAGCAGTTCTAGGCCCATTTAACCATTCATTTTACAGATAACCGGATACAGCCGGTCAGTTAAAGGGACAGAAGTGTAACAGGGATAGCCAGCATTAAGGGTTCTATGTTAGTGGCACAGTTATTGGTTACTCTGTAAGAGTTTAAGACATGTTTGGTTGAGGTCAGTTTTGAGTTCGCTTCAAGGAGTTTTGTCATCGAGCCTCTTCCACAGAGAGAACTGCTTGGAGAGGCTCTGTAATTCGGCCTTTTATGTCATCATACCTCAGTACCATGTCTCATGCCCAGACATCAGGAAGCCTATGGAACATGGCTGCACCAGGGGCTTTAACCCCAGCCAAGGAAGTGTGTTACCTTAGTGAACATTACATTCAACCAATTCAGATCAGACTAGAAGTACTTACACTGATGGTCAGCTCTACACATTAGTCATCTTGCATGGACTCCATAAAGCAGGCTTTGGCATTGGGACCAGCAAGTCATCCACAGTATACCTGTATGGAGAAATAAATGTATTGTTACATCTTACACAGGAGTAGTAGAATCCAGCAGCAAAGATACCTAGTCCATGGATCAAATGAGAAGCTTTTATTTAAACTAGAGAAAAGCTGCAGAGGTCATGACTGCTGACCCAACCAGTCCCCCAACCAATAAACCCGTTGCCCCCCAAATAATACACGTGACACATTCTTCTTGTGGATAAGGGCAACGGCCACAGCTTTATTTAACATAATAATTTTTAACTTAGTCCAACTCTGCCAGCTGTTGGGTGTTTCCCAACAGGCAGTTCTCCCAACTTCTATACCATGAGCCTCGACAGCCGGCTCCTCGCCATCAGCTCCGTGCAGGCTGTCGTCTCCCCAAAGCTCCCTTTTTCTTCTGCGCTGTCCAGGGAAACCCGCCAAGCTGTGACAACACAAAACAAGAAAAACAAGACACAAGCCACAACACCAGAAACAGGGTGGGAGGGTGGGAAAACAGCCAAGATCCCTCAATGAACCTGCTGACTGGTAAGTCCCCTCCCTCTCCCTTTCCTTAAGAACCACAAATGTATCCATTTTAACCCAGCCCCCAATCTTGGGCAGCAGTCATGCTCCCCCTTCCTTATTCTTCCAGGGGGAAACTTGACTGCTGACCCAACCAGTCCCCCAACCAATAAACCCGTTGCCCCCCAAATAATACACGTGACACTTTCTTCTTGTGGATAAGGGCAACGGCCACAGCTTTATTTAACATAATAATTTTTTAACTTAGTCCAACTCTGCCAGCTGTTGGGTGTTTCCCAACAGGCAGTTCTCCCAACTTCTATACCATGAGCCTCGACAGCCGGCTCCTCGCCATCAGCTCCGTGCAGGCTGTCGTCTCCCCAAAGCTCCTTTTTTCTTCTGCGCTGTGCAGGGAAACCCGCCACCCATGCCCACCTCGCGCACTACGCTGCGCGGGCATCGCGCCCCCCCGCCGACAGCGCCGCCTCAATTCCTGCTTGTAATCCCATATTGAAAATATCTAACCCAATGGGGGACAAATGAACACCATCCCGTCTCATGACATCATCGTTAACCCCTTCCAATTCAAAGTGCCTCACAACTACACCCCCCAGTTGGCGTACAAACCGAGACATGGTCATGTTAACCTTACGCCTATAGCGCTCCAAAGCCTTCCCATGACCCCCGGACCGCCACACCGGGCGCGGAACGATCTCGGACCAGACGAGGGTCAGGTCCCGGAACAACGCAAAACAGCGGGCCACGTCATGCCGCATTGCACGAACTAGGTCCACCGACCGTCGCCGTCCGACATCGTTCCCGCCCA